AAATGGCAGAAGACAAGCCTTTATCCAGACTTCTTGGGCTGCGAACAAACAACTTTCATGTCCCACAGAGGAACAGAGCTGAGCCTCAGTGAAAAAAGGACACCTGTTCTGGACCTACAGCACCACCTGGTGGTTAACATAAGACAACACTCCAACAGTCCACCATCTTTTATTTCTACCTGGGGTTAGAATGGACCCATCATCTCTTCTTTTCCACACTGACTGTTCAATTGTATATACCTGAATACAAGGAAACATCCTGCCAAATAAAAATCCCTTAGAAGCTGGATCTTTTCCTAAATAGTTCCCTGAATGAAGCGCTTTGGGGGAAGCACAGTACCCTGAAATGACCTTGAACCATATAAGTTTTAGGTTCATGGAAGATCATCTGAATGAAGAAAAGAAAACAGCAAAAAATACTAAAGCATTATAGGCAAAAGGGCATGCTATCAGACAGTCAGACACTTGTGTTAAGACAAACACAAATCTCAAAAGCACCCCACCTCCCAGATCCCTTTCTAAATACAAAGGGAATTGTCATTGCTTACTTAGGTGCCGTCAAGTCAGTTTCAGCTCACAGAGACCTCTGTAGGGTTTCCAAGGCGGAAGATCTTTATAGCAGCAGAAAGCTCCATCTTTCTCTTGAGGAGTGGTAGGTTGGATTTGAATTGACAACCTTGAAGTTAGCAGTCCAATGCTTATACTTACAAGACAGTGCCACCACTGCTCCCCAGGAAGGGGACAGTGTGCCTTCATAATGCCATGACTAACTGCAAAGAGGAGTGAGTGTATCTGCAATACAGCGAGCTGAAGGCTGCTAGTCAAGTGATCAAACTAAGAAGTGTCACTAGCAAGGACAGTCCGAGCTTACATGTCCCCTCCTCTGAAATAATCAAACTGGAGCAACAACTATGGGAAAGATTTGTCGGAATCTCTAAGCTCAACATTTGCATATCCTATGACACACTGCACTCTTCTGTCAGTGTGTCGTACTGTGGTGGCCAGCATGTGGATGTGATGCTGAAGCGATTTTAAATACCATCAAGGCCACCTGTGGTGAGCAGGTTTCAGTGGAGCCTCCAGACTAAGACCCACTAGAAAGAAGAGGTGGCCACTTGGCCACTTCTGAATGGTTAGCCCCTGAAAACCTTATAAACACCAATGGAATACTGTTAGATCTAGAGCCTGAAGATGAAGCCCTCAGGTTGGAAGGCACTCAAAATTCGACTGGGAAAGAACTGTCTCCTCAGAGCAGAGTTGAAAATGGAGGATCCACAAAAGCAAAGAGAAAGACCCCCAGTGAGACAGAATGACCCCGTGGCAGCAGCAATTGGGCTCAGACATAACAACTGTACGGCTGGCCCAGGACCAGGCAGGGTTTTGTTATGTTCTGTATCGAGTCGGTATGAGTCAGAACTGACTTAACGACACTTAACAACAACATCTAATCCCACTAGCTATAATCATAGGCTACTTTTGCAAAAATACTACTAAAAATTAACTTGATATTTTGGGATATCAAATATCTAAGAAAAAACTAGTCTACTCTTCAGGCTTTTAAATAATTATTTTACAGTAACCAATGGAGTCAGGTGATGAGGATAAGCACTTGAACCACAAGGTCAGCAGTTCAGTTTAACCTGCCACTCCTCAGAAACCCTACACAGGGTTGCTATGAGTTGGAAGTGATTCCACAACATTTAACAACAGAGTGGAGGAGTCCTGGTGTGGTGCTATAGGACCAACACTAGCTGCAAACCACAAAGTCAGCAGTTCAAATCCACCAGTTGCCCCTCAGAAACCCTACACAGGGTCGCTATGAGTCTCAACCAACTTGACAGCACTTAACAACAACAATAGTCTAATGAGTTCTGGTGGTGCATTTAAGTGTTAGGCTGCAAACTACAAGGTTACCACCAGCTGCTCTGCAGGAGAAAGATGAGGCTGTCTGCTCCCTAGGATCGGGTCTCTGTGAATCAGAATTGACTTGATGGAAGTGGGTTTGGTTTTTTTCAGTTTATAACAGAGTCCAAATATACTGATAGGTTTTGCTTGAAGCCCCCATATCACTATGCTATTATTTACCTTAAGTGAAGTACAACAACAAATGCAAAAATTGTACTTTCTGAAACATAATGAGATCCGTTTTCCCTGTGATCCTGGACTCGAAGCCCATGATATACTGAGATGATGGAGGAGGCTGTTCATAGTCGGCTCTTCAGGCTCCTCTCTGCCTCTGCACAGAACAGCAGTCATTCGCTCGGGTGGGAAACAGCGCAGCGCGTGGGGCAACTACTGCCCTCCATCATGACAACGAGTGTCCTTTATCCTAAAACACCAGAAGCGGGCTGCTCTCTGCTGTCCAGGCCCGCTCCTACACCACCCCTGTGATCGGGGTGGCTCCACAGCATTGTCACTGGCTCATTTTCAGAAGCAGATTGTCGGGCCTGTTTTCCTAGTTCATCATAGTGTGGAAGCCTCACTGAAGCCAGTCCAGTCTCAGAGCTGCCCGCAAACCTCTGCTGTCAGACCAGAGAGGCCAATGCCCAAGGTGCACTGGTCAGAAATCAAACCTAGCTCTCCCACACAGGAGGCGAGAATTCTCCCACCGGCCCACCAGGCTTCCTTCATTACCCATTAGACCTCAAGGATACACAGGGCTCTCAACCTGGCTTCCCTCACAGCTGGCCCCACAGACAGGACTCTTCCTCTCTAGCTGCAAGCAGGGCAACCAAGACAGGAAGTGGAATCACAATTTGGCCTTAGGCCAATCACGTCTCACAGCTTCCATTTCTTCACAATAAAAGCCAGTAAAGCCAACCCTATCCCAAAGTCACTGATTGCCGTGAAGATCAAATGAGACAATGAGACAACGGTTATTCTAAAGTACTTTGAAAACTGTTTTAAAAAGATGAACTATTTATTTTTATCCCATATTGAAAAGTTCTCAAAAATCACACACAAAAAAATCCCCCAAAATACAGCCCACAAGGCTGAGCAGATACACTAAACACTTCAACACTGAGATTTCTTCCTAAATACACACTCATTTTCGAATCGCCCTGGAAGCATGTAAAATACAACTTCTACTGATATCTCCATAGTCAAAGAAGGATTATTATCAACTGTTCATAACTCTTCCCAAAAAAATCAAAAGAGAAAGAAACGCTTCCCAACTCATTCTATGAGGCCAGTAATACAGACACCCAAACCAGACAAGGGTATTACAAGAAAACCACACACCAATGTCTTTCAAATACAGATACAAAAATCTTCAACAACATACTAGCCAATCAAATCCAGAAGCATATAGCACTGTAAAGGACTATCTGTGTCATGATCAAGTGGAATTTATCCCAGGAACCAAAGGTTGGTTTAATATCCAAAAATCAATTAAAGTAATACACAGAATAAAGGACAGAAACCTATGATCATCTCAATAGATGAAGAAAAATCATTTTGACGAAATCCAACAGCCCTGCAGGATTAAAAAGGGAGTCTTCTTCAACCCTGTGAGAAAAGGTATGCATGAAAAACCCACCAATAGCATCAGACTGGAGACCCTGGGTGTTGTAAATGGTCATCGAGCTTGGCAGCTAACTGAGAGTCTGGAGGTTTGGGTCCCTCAAGACAAGCCTTGGAAGAGAGTAGCAAATGTTTTGTTTTAACCAGCTTTAAAAACAAAACAAAACAAAACCAGCCACTGAAATCCTTCGGGAGCAGGCACAGTCCTACTCTGACACACACAGGGCTGGCATGATTTGGAGTTAACTCCAGCCTGCCTTTGGTGCCTGGTAAGGACACATATAAAGAACATGCCCTGAAGTGGTCATCCTTCTTTCGGAGGCATGTGAAATGCTCACACGTCTGACTGTCCTCAGTAATGCACACTGACGGGCTCATCAGTTCTGCTCAGTAAAGAAGGAAAGAGCCAGAAGGGACCTGAGGCCAGCCTCATTTCAGGCTGCTTCACAGACCACCTCAGTAACACAGGAAAGAAGGTTTAACGAACGGTACCTCAGTCTTCCCACATTCATCGGGTGGATCCTGGTGTATGGTCATTTGATACTTGACATACAAAGAAAATGACTGGCTGAAGGACGACTTGAACTCTGGGTCCTCAAAGGAGACAGGTACTAGCCTCACCTTCAGAGCAAGGGAGATACAAGCAAAGGCTATTGAGACGTTTTACCTGATGGCACGCTTCTGAAGGTGAGGCTAGAGGAGGATCTCTGCAAATCCACTTCCAAAGCTCAGTCCTGGGATTTGGCAGGAAACGGAACGGGCTGGCTGGCACTGAGCCTGAAGCACTACCTCTCTACTAGTTAAAACAGAATGCTTAAATTCCTAAGGGCCAGAACAGTGTTCTCTTGTTTGTTTCCCTAGCCACCTGTTGAATTCTAGACTAGAGTCAATATCCCCGCTAACTACCACGAAGAGGATTGTTGTCCCTACTTTTTTGATGCCGTCTTATATGAGGCGTTTTAGACAGGCTGCCTTTCCAGATTCTCTTGGGTAAGGCAATTCATACAATTAGAAGCATATTAGGACTTGTCTGAAAATATTCTTTTTTCTTAAATTTTTGGTCTCAGTGGTGCCTGGGTAGTACAATACAAGGACTCAGCTACTCTAACTGTCTGGATTTTAAATGTGGACACAGCACATCAACGGTGCTGTGCCAAGAATGCCTACCATGAAAATAGAAAATGTCTTGCTTTCTTCTCATAGACATTTTAACTTAGAGCTCTATGAATATGAAGCCTTCAAACATAGTGACTTCAAAACCAGATCACTTCTTGTCTGTGCCACTTTCCAATCTGAAATCACCCCAATGGCAGGCTCTTTAACTGGCAGTAGGGGAAATTTGCACTTTCAGAATGTTCACTAGCTCAGAGTCTTCTCTGCAAACTGACTCAAAATTAAATGTCCCACAAATAAGAAGCATCCAATGGAGGGGAAACATTCCGTTTGCACATACAGAGTACACGTGACCCGCTGACCTGGCTCACAGTTGGTTTGTCACACGGGTCCTTGTGAACAATCATCTGGTAACGTCTATAGATCTGGTAGGACTCCTGAAATGTGGCTTTGAACTGAGAACTTGGGGGAGATGATCTCACAACCCTCACCTTCAGAAGGGGTTAAAAACAATGTTCATTAAATTCATCCATCCACTCAACAGTATATGTTCAGTCACTCCCCTCCAAAAAAACCCAAGCAAACAGCAATGCATAAATATATAGTCATCATAGTTTAACATTCAGAACCAACTGGTTAATAAATTCACGTTTTTTCTCCAGCTTCTCGGACTTCGAGAACCATGAGGACGACAGACGATCCTCTCGAAGTCCTGCAGGTCTGCTCAGAGACTGACAGGAGAAACCAAGCCTGCCTAGCATGCAAACCACACACACACACACACACACACACACACACAAATAAAATAAATAAATAAATATATATATAC